TTTGATTAGTTTTAAAAAAAATCATTCAACCATTCATTTGTCTAGATAAAATAGAAGTTATACAATTATAGTACTTGGTAGAAATTAAATTACAATCTCTGTGGGTTCGACATCCTAACTTTCATACTATATCACAAAACTTGACACCGTACACTTGCGGTATAATTCACGTTATAGAAAATGCGTGACATACATCTTATTCAATTCTTCAGACATTTACTTGGAAAACTTTTGATTGATTGAATCCACTTTTGAAAATCACCTATTTCATCAAAGTTTTCTCATCTAACACTCGAGTTTCATTCATTATTATTCATTTAAGTATTAGCCTATTTCTCTCTTTGTACTTAATTTGTATTTATCATTTATTGAGAGAGAAGTTTCAAATTGTAAAATTATTCCTCTTTACATTTGTAGGTTATATTAAGGTCTCGTAAAGCTCAATATTGTAAGTTATATTGAGGTCCCATAAAACTTAATATTATATAAGGATCGGTGATCCTTGTTTGTAAATCATCGAAAACGATATAAAGGGTTGGATTGCACCGTAAGTCAATCAATATAGTGAAAAGTTCTTGCTCGTGCAGGAGATCTTGGTAACGAATGACGTAAATCATTGTCTTGGATTGAACCTACACAATTATATTGTTTGCATTCTCTCTACCCTTTTACTTATCGTTATTTCATTTATATTTATTCTTTGATTGATCTACTTGCTTTTATTTGCTTGAAATTATTAATTGATCAACGTATTCTTGACTGGCTGATTTAAGTCTATTTTTCGAAAAAGTTTTTAAAAATAAATTCACCCTATCTTAGTTAGTTATTCTTTTAGGCTATCAAAAGTGATGACGTCATCCTAGTCAAATCATTAATCATGATGTTACACAATCACGATGGTGTTTACCAAGCTGTTGGATGACAGCTTTCGAGCTGTTTGTGAGGAGGATGTGGAGGTTTAGTAATCAAATTCACTTAGGAGCATTACTTAGTGACTAATCCTTTATTAAGAATCCCATGTCAACAACATTTATTCAATTCAACATTATTCAACCCCTTTTTCATATGTATTAATAGTCAATTTACCAATTTTAGTTAGTGACATATTCTGACAAAACTAGCTCTATTTCACTTACTAGAATTTACGATATTTCTATGTATATTCATACACATATAAACGCATTAATTAACAGGAATTATACCAAGATTGCGTAGTCTATAAGAGCATCTCTCCATCTCTTATCACCACATACTTCACTTATGGCATGAGCTAAATTAATACATCACCTCTTGATCACAAGCAGTTGAATGCAATTAAGCCCCCGTTTGATCTACATTATTATCTCATTAAAATGAAAAATGTGACTGTTATCCATCATATCAACATTCAAATTCAAATTTTCTATCTCTTATGTGGATCTCAATAACGGCTATATTTTTCATTCTTATTCTACAATTATTTGGCTCAAATAGGGCCTAAATATAAAAGAAGTAATCAATACATAATAATTTGCAGGAAATCTTTTGAATTAAATAAACATCAAATCTAAGTCATATCGTTCATCCTAATAACAAATTATTTATCCACTCATAATTGTGAAATTAAACAATAAAAAGTGAAAAATATCACCGGGTTCAATACAATAAATGAAGAAAGAATTCAAATAGTCGCTTTTCGACATTCAATTCTCAATAATGGATCTTCAAACTATTCTTGGATGATTGTAAATCTCCCGGCCAATTGATGATTATCAACCTTCAAATATGCCAATTTAGGGCCACAATTCTTGAGAATTTCAAATGGATCTAAGTAGTTGGTCCTCTCCTCTTGTTTGAATGAGAGGTTATTATTTATAGATCTCAATTTGAGCCTAAAATAGTCACAAAATGATAGGAAACCATAATTTTAGTCCAATTAGGATATCTCGAATTAATGACTTGATCCCTATTTTCTCTTTTTGTTCGGATTTATTCCTTAGATATTATAATTGAGTTCCTTCAACTTTCAAAAGTGGCTCCTTGGTCCCAACTTACAGATTTTATCCAACTTTAATCTTTTTTTTTTTTATTAATTGCCATTCATTTTTATCCGCTTCGTCCAATATCGGTTTCTCCTAAAATGGTAAATAAAAAAATATAATTAAGTATCAAGCTCAAAATAATCATCCCAAATACTATTTTTGATGATCAAGATAAGTGTAATATTTACTATTTACACTTATCAAATACATCTACAAATTATTGCAACCGGATTCAGAAAGGTAGCATTCAATTCGTTTACTTACCCCCATCAGTGTCATTCCTGTAAATTTTCCAAATTAGAAAGCAGTAAATTAGAAAAGAGAAATTATACCTAACCCTGTTTTTAAAGTTTAAACTTCATTAATTAGATTTTAAGTTTAATTTTTCATAAATCAGGTTATAATTAAAATAATATAAATTAAAATAATCTACATATTCAACGAAAATGTTTGTGCGGTGATGTGTCACGGGGATGGAGGTATAGGTTGTGACGGTGGTGTTACAGGTGGTGGTGGATCTGGTTGTGGTGGTGAGGTGTTGGTGTTGGTATTGGTTTTGATTTTTGTTGTTGGAGTGGTGGTAGTGGTTTCCATATTTTGGTGGTGTTGGGGGTTTTGGGTCGATTTTTGTTGATGGTGTAGGTGGAGTTGCTAGCAGTGGCGGTAAAGGTTGGTGATGATAGTGATGGTCATGGCTGTGGTGTGTTAGTTGTACCTGGGATGCGCAGTGTTTGTGACCAATTATTTGAGATTGTGACCATTAAATTGTATATTTTTGTGACCTAAAAAATTGAATTGTGACTTTAACATTTGTGATTTGTGACCGATAAATTGATATTGTGACCAATAAATAATATGTAACTTATTAATTTGATAGATTTGTGATCGATAAATAAATCGTGACTTTTAAATTTTTAATTTGTGACATATGAACAAACTGTGACTTATAAATTTTTTGAATTGTGATCGTAAAATAATTTGTGACATAAAAATTTTGATTTGTGACCGAAAAATAATATATGACTAATTAAATGGTTAATTTGTGACCAAATTGTATAAATCTGTAACCTTAATATATTTAATTTTGTGACTAATTAAATGGTTAATTTGTGATCAAATTGTATAAATCTGTGACCTCAATATATTTAATTAATTAAATCATAAATAAATTTAAATAAAAACCTGATTTTTGAAATTTAAAACATATATCCTTAATTTTGAAATGATGATATTTAAATACATTATTTATGTATTGTTCCCATTAGAAAAATGGGTAGGGGCTTACTTTTTATTTTAGATTAGAGAGATAATAAAAGGCCCATACCCACTGGGAAATAATAATAATAATTGAATTTTGAGCTCATGCTTTCATTCTTTTGCTGATGAGTCGCTATAAGAAATTTGGACTAGTGAATTACACGCAGTTTCGCAGCCTTCACAACTACAAATTGAAATGATGTTTTAGCTGACTGAAGAAACACAAAATTTCATTGGCAGCGCGGCCGAATAGCAAGGCAACAGTCGAGAGAGGGAAGGGGAGGCCGGCTTGTGCAGTTAATAATCAACTTAAGAATAGTCTTGAGCAGTAATGTAATATGATGTCCAACATTAATAACTAAACTAAAAGATACTTCCATCACTCACCAACAAGATACCCAATGTTTCATACAAATTAAACCACAAAATTTGCAACAAAGGCTCAACTTGAACGATCCGGTCCATAACATCTTGTGCAACGGCTACCCATGTTTTACTCACATTTTTCCCAGACTTCACCGCACGTCAGCTTCCCCACAAATTTGTCATTCATTGATCTGCCACCCGGGATCTTATTTCACATCTTAAGATTCATTTTTTCTTGTGTCCCGATTTATAGAGGATGGTAAGGCACATAGCCGAGAATTATCCTCAAGTTGGTAACCACATCATTGCACTCTATTAGAAGATTAAGCATCCGTTGTGAAATATCATTGTTTGTTGGGATGATGGTTATATGTTGAGCGGGTGGGGTATTAAACGATGCAGATACTTGCTCAGAAAATGGCATGTTACTCCGAAAATCTTGAAATTGATTAGAAGTCAAAGGAATGGTGGAACGAGAAATAACCTCATCAAAATTCTTACTACTAAGATTGACTGAATGTGTAGAAGCAGCAGCCTCGGGAAAAGAAGGAATGTCATTGGTGTTCTCATTCCCACTCAACAATTGCGTCTCATCCCCACCTAATACGAACTTGACACGCGTGCTTCTACCACCACCACTACCACTGCCCCCTTCATCACCAGATTTCTTGAGACAAGATTTGAGCTGGGCAGGCTGCTGCTGATGCAGTGGCAAAGAGAGTTTTGCAGCCACCCTTTGCTCAGCTGCATAATCTTCAGGTCGTTGAGAGGCCACCATTGATGAGTCATCCTTTTGAACCTTGGACCGTTCAGATTCTTGACCCTCAGCTTCCATTTCCCGGAGAGAGCATCTCACGTTTGTATTCCCAAATAAATTGCTACTTCCTGAAGCAAACTTTAACGCAGCTTGAGCATGAACCTTGGAATGGTAGACAAGACGGCATGTATATGACTTCCAGAAAACACGAGTACCAGAGTGATCCAACGGACCAAAACGAGCAAACTTTGCTTTCAGTTCTGCAATTGAAGGAAGTGTTCCTCCTTGTGGAAACTTCATAACAAGCATCGTACGATCGGCAGCTCTTGTTGGCTGCTTCTCTATCCTCTTGCTAGATTCCAATTTAACTACTTTTTTGGGTATTGGTAATACAATTTTCACATCTGTTTCCCTTACGTCCCCTCGTTTAATGTCCATAGCCTTCTGGGCAGCTTTCTTTTCTGCTGCCAATGATTTCACATCATCAAATCTCTTCTTTTTCTTTGCAGCAATTTCTTCAAGACGATCAGATGGACCACGTTTCTTCCCAAATTTGTTTGAACCATCATGCTTGACTGGAGGTTTAAGAGGCTTCACAGTTGCAACCTCTTTGATAGTCTCGGCAGAACTGGCTGGAGCTCTTGTTGCAGGTAATTTACTTGCACGAGCTTCATTTGAATCATTCTCTGCTGGAACTGACAAGGCCAAGCTTTTTTGATAGACGAGAGATCGGAATTTTGAGAAAACCTGCCTGATAATAGCTGGACTTCTCCTTTCTACGCCATGGAAGGGGTTGAGAGCAAGAGCTTGCAAATCTTTCAGTAGCACTGCGAGTTCGAACTCTGCATTCCCTATCCCAACAGCCTGCCATGTTTCCATTGAAGGAAGCTGAGACTTTTCACCCAAAGAAACTTGAGCAGATGTTCCTGAAACTCTCTCAAGTGCTGCTCCGGGTATTTGCACATGGCTAGCGGTCGCCCTAATGCCCATTTCTTTCTTTGTCTTCTTCTTCTTCTTCTTCTCTGTCAGTACTGGATTCTCAATGCTTATTTCACCAGCAGAACGCTTTCGTACCTTTGCTCTCTTGGCTCCATTGTCCAAAAGCTTCTTGGGACCTGCACCACAAAGTTCCCTCGGTAAACAGAGATGTGTACAGCAAAAAATAAAGAGAAAAAATGATGCGCACCACTGCAACCATCCTGAAGTTTCTTTTTGTGCAAATCTTCAGCAGAAACCTGAAGACTCATAGGTAGGTCAAGGCCTTCAGAAACACTGGGCTCGGGAGTCTGACACACATGCTCAGACATGTCAGAAAAATCAACTTTTCCAGTAACATGCAACCCATCTTCCAAAAGAGGCTGACTAGAGGAGCCTGCTTGCACCAAGCTTGCTTTTTTAGCCTTGAACTCATTTGGTGCATCTCGTCGTTTAAATAGATACCTTTCTTTCTCAATTTGGTCCTTTATTCTAATAGGTTTTGCAGAGTTTTTCTCCTTGCCAAGAGCTTCTGCAATGACAAGTCGGCCACTCAAATGATCTGAAAGATGAGACAAAATTATGAGAATGATAAGGAAAAGAAAACCGAAAAACGAACCGAGTTAATAGATAAGGACAGTTTACTGGTAAAGGTGGCATGCTCATCTCTTCTCCAGAAACACGAAAGATTCAAATAACAATCTTAATTATGTATTAAAGATGACTTGTAATGTTATATGCAGCTGGATCTCAATGATTGTGCAAACAAAAAGCATAAAATTAAGATGACAACTAAAGCAAAAAAAAAAAAAAGCTGAGACCAAGTGGCAGCAACCAAAAACAGGTGCAAGAGTTGACAAAGCACATTTTCAAGAAAAAACCAAACGATACCAAGTGAAATTTATACGGCATGCCATACGAGCAGGTGAATTGTTAGAAGTAAAATTTTCCCATCAAAAGCGCCCCTCACAATATTTAATTTGAGACCATCTAACAGACAAAATTAACAGGATCACAGGACCTTGAGTACACCAACAATTTTACATCCTATTTCTTCCAGATGATGCACGAGATAAAAATCAAAACAGGAAGACAAAACTCATCCAACTGTGAATAAATGTTGTTCCGACCCACATTACTTTTACATCTAATCATATTAGCTATGTTTGGCCCATATTTATAAACTGTTTATAAACACTCAAGCCACTTTTTATCCGCACATTTTGAGGGGCCCACAAATACCACCCACTTATCAATAACTCATTTCTATCTATTTATAATTCAAACCTTTTATAAACACTTCCAAACATGCTTTTAGCTTAGTTTATCTGCAGCCCCCAAAAATAAATAAATAACAATAACAATAATAATAAACACAAGGTCAGCAGATCAAAAGCACAAAAGATGCAAAAAAATCTTAATGATGCTATATCAAAGGCTCCAAAAATTAAATGCAGCTGGATCTTTATGATGGTCTGAGCAGTAACATAAAAATTAAAATGAAAATTAAATCAAAACATGCTGTGAACAAGTGGCAGCAAGCGACATCTGCAAGAATCAGGAGAAGAGTTCAAAGAGCACATTTTCAAGATAAACCAAAACAGTATCAAGTGCAATTCTATGGCATGCCACACGCATATAATAGTTAAATACTCAATGGAGATAAATTTTACCATCAAAAGCTGCCACCCTCTCAACATTTAAGATGAGACCAACTAAAGGACAAAGTTAATAGTTCCTTGAGTACTCCAATAATCTTCTATATTATTTCTTCTAGATGTTATGTGAGGAGAAGTCAAAACAGGAAGATGAAACTCATCCAACAACCATGAAGAAATGTTGTTTTGACCCATTTAAAAGTAGTTTTAAAAATAATCAGATTAGCCTAGCGTATTCTCCCCACCCCACGCACAACCCCAAAGGCACGAAAGATTCAAGAACAATTTTAATTACGCCATACCGAAGACTTCAGAAAATTAAATGCAGCTGTCTGAACAACAACATTATATTAAGATAGCAACTCAAGCAAAAAAAGCTGTGCACAAGTGGCAGCAAGCAACAGGTTCAAGAGTTAAGGGAAGAGTTGACCAAGCACATCTTCAAGAACGAGTAAAACAATACCAACTGAAAATTTTATTCTAGGCCACACGTGCAGGTAAATAATTAAATACTCAAACGAGAGAAATTTTTCCCATCAAAAGGTGGTCCACTCACAACATTTAAAGTGAGACCAACTAAAGGAAAAAATTAATAGCTTCTTGATTCGACCAGCAATCTTCTATCCTGTTTCTTCTAGATGATACATTTGACGAGGTAAGTCAAATAGGATGACAAAACTCATCCAACAACTATGCCTAAATTTCATTTCAACACCTTTCACGTAAATACCTTTACAAATTCGTGTTAGCCTAGTATTTACCACCCCACCCCACCCCCCCAGTTCATGCAAAAGTCCATTTTAGCTTCAAGTGATCGGAGGACTTTTTTGAAAGCAATCATTTACTGGAAGTGAAAAGACAACTCTTAGTTATCATTTACTAAAATAATAGATAAAATAAGATCATGAACAAATAATGATTTATGAAGCCCTAAAAGCCTATGATGCTCGAACTTGGATGCGGATACGTATCTAAGTATCTTATCTTTTATTTTCTAAAATATAGAATACGGAGATATGGCTAAAAAGAGTCCAAATTTCGGACACGGATACGTGGGTACCTCTTTCAAACATCAATTTTTTTTACTAATCCAAGATGTCATTTTAAATAGACCAAAATCAATTGTTGACAAAAAAATGAAATGAGTATTGAAAAGGGATTTTTTTATAAGAGTATTGAATAAGGGATTAACAAGAATAAAATAGAATTTTAGGGTTTAATTTTCAATTATGAAAAATTAATTATTAAATGTTAGATAAAATAGAAAATGAGGGACTTGATTGCAATTTGGACTTAGAAGAACACCAAGTAGCACTATATGGAACACATTTTCAATTTATACAAAGAAAGCCTTAAACCGATACGGAGAGGGAAAGAAGGAAAAACAAAAAGAAGAAAAAGAAGGGAAAACCTAGTGACACCGCCTCCCTCCACCCTCTCGACGGTGACGCTAGATTTACAAAGAGCAGAAATGAGAAAGAAAAAAAGAAAGAAGTAGAAACGATGAAGTGGCCGGTCGAAACTTGGAAGATCCGACACGTCACATACCCATACCAGTGTCGTGTCGTGTCGACACGGGTACTTCGTCCATTTCGAAGAGTCCAAGCATTAGAGCTAAAAACATTGATAGTTTTCAATTAATATGGATTTCCCCACGACAAGTTTATAAGATAAATAATATTACTAACTTATAGCAAGTCCAGAAGAAAGGACTTACAATACTTCACCCATGTGTCTATATTTACATGCCACAATTGCTTTTATTCTCATAAATTCGTTTTGATATATCACGTAGTTTGTTTTCAAAGTATTACTCACATTTTAGCTTAATATGATGAAATTGACTCCTAACAAGTAATTATATTGAAAAGTAATGTGAGGTAGAACAGCCATAGAAATTGATGGGGAATAAAGATTGTAATTTATATCAGTTCATTTTACTTTATTATATTTTTTACTAGAATTAGGTTATTATTTGATATATTTTCTAGTTTGACTAAATTAGGGTTCATTTAATTTGTTCCCTTCTCAAATTAGGTTTGCTTACTCTATATAAAAAAATGATATATTCATTGTAATACACATAACTTTAATATTGAGCCTCTGTTTGGCAAAATTTTAATCCAAGACAAAATCAACAATTAATTTTAACCATATATTTCATAGGACTTACAACATTTTAACTACACATTTCATCAACTTTATCAAAATCTACTAAAAATCTAATTTTAGAGCCTGTTTGAAATGTATTTTAATCCAATTAAAATTAAAAATATAGTCGTTATTGGGTCCCACCCGTCTAATAAAAGTCGACAATAACGGCTAGTTTTTTAATATTAATCCGATTTTAATCCCTCCCAAACAAGCTCTTAATCCTCACCAAATAGAGGTTGAATAAAAACTTATATTTCCTCCCTCTAAATTCTCCTTCCTCCTCTCTCTCTCATTTTCTCAATCTCGTTCTTTGTTCATTGCATTCTTCATCAGAGATATTATGGCAAATAATAATACCAAATACATCATTTGGTGTAAATAAGAAATTGAGTTGCCCTAAAATATTCTAGTAAGATAAACCTCAATTTAACTCAAAATGTGCATAACATTCTTACTATTCTTGAAAACTATCTCAAATTAACTTTTGGAACACAAAACTGATAGATGGTTCCTTTCACCCAGATCTAGTAAGGAAACAGGTTGATACTTCCTTGCTCCGTCAACAAAAATACTGTCAAATCGTAATGTGAAAAGACTTCAGAGTCAGACTACAGTGAATAGGCCAAAACAGAATTAATATTTCTACATGTCCACTGGAAGGATCGATCCCCTTAGACTAGTCCAGTTCCCCGATTTTAAACGAATCACGTGCGTAAAAGAAATTTTCTAAAGAAATAAAAAAGGACATATTATCAAATTCAAGATATAATTAGCATTTGGTCACCTTTTAATTTCTTTAAGAACTCAAGTAAATATTTAATGAAGTCCTTGCATCGCCAAATTCACCAGCTTAGCAAATTGCAAAATAATCTATTCACCACATGCAATGAATTTTGCCAAGTATAACTTGTTGCAATGTGTACGTAACCAATTAGAAAGACAATGAGCAAAATGATTTTCACTCCTCATATCCGAGGCACTAGAGAGCTCCAGTCACCCGTGCTTTTGCAAAAGAAGGGAAAGGAAAATAACAGCACGAATCAAATCTGTCCAAACAGAATAAAGTTATATCGGTAGACTTTAGCAACATATCAAGGTGCCATAAAAACTGGTATGACCTTTCATTAGAGTAGTTGCCTTCAGCATTGTTTTCTCTCTTACCCATTTATTTCATCTCTCTTAAACTTGTCATAATTTAATGTTCTTGAGAAGTTTTCAGATTATGCACCCAATTTCAGTTTGGTTTTGTCCTATTGAGTTGTATTATCTTCCAATATATATTGTCTATGAAATTGAATGACAAATATACCTTTACTGTTAATTTCAAATTACCCTCTTATTTGACTTTTTCTGACAAAGGGCACTCAAAGCATAAGCTTGAGACTCGTATTGAACGCTTGCATAATGAGAACTTTAAAAAACATAGCTCATGCATAAGCAAATGTTTCTATTAAGTGTCAGAAACAAGTTTCTCAATGCATAAAGAGTCCATTTAACAAAGCAAAATAAATAAGCCCAACTATGGAGTATTTTATATGTCCTTTCGAAGATAATCTTGGATTTACGGAGATCAAGCACTAAACAATTTCATGACTAGAGAGTACGAGTTGAGTTAGTGAAATTGCCAAACTAAGGGTAAAGCAATGCTAGATTGTTGCCAATGGACTATAATGATCACCTACACTTGCCAGTATTTTAAATTCTAGCACCCATTGTCTCAAAAAGCACCTGAGGGTTACATCTTGAGGCACGCCTCAGGTGAGACCTTCATTAATCATCTTGAAGCATAAACTTTGAATTCCATTTATCAAGTTTTACTCTTCTATTTATCGAGGTGCACACCTCAAGGCATAAGCCAAGTGTGAGATAGCACTCTTTTTACCTGTCTTGGCTTTTCACTACTAGTCTAAACTGTTTAGGCTGGTTTTTGTTGCCCTAACTCTTCAAGGGCTTTTTGGACTATTTTTAACCCAATTCAACCCTGAAACCTAGAAAAAAATTGGGGAATAGAGAAGTGAACAAGTCAAGCAGGCATACCCTAGACTCCTATAACTTAAGTAGAATAAACCCTTCTCCCAAGTGAAGGTACAATTTTTCAGCAGCAGATGGCCAGGGATACCTAAGCTTAATATTGAACTTTTCTGTCTTCTATATTTTTTTCTGTTTAAGCTGCATTTTTGTTTTCTCTTCTTTCAAAGTCAAAGCAAGCAAATTCTTGATTAACTAGCAAGTTCTCTAGTTTGCTTTAGACTTTTAATTGTAGTACTAATAATGGTCTTATTATGTAACCATTATATTGTAATTTATTATTTGTTAAATTTTTAATCAATTTTAAGTTTAAGTTTCAGATTAAACATTTAATTTTGTTAAAAAAAGCTACATGAATATTTTAGATGGTTTATCACAAGCTCAATTTTGCATTTATGCAATTTTTTGAAATAATTTATTGGTTAATCTAAGCTTATGCCTTAAAGTGCATCAAGTTAGGCCTCGCTTTACGGAGGCAAAACACCTAGATATCAGCATTATCCTTTTTGAACATTCCTTTCATCAAATTCACCTCAAAAATATAAGTCAACTTGAAAGGATTTTGTTATGGATGGATTGTACTACTCAAGTACACATGAAAGAAAACTTCGTTTGTTAATAGAAATGTTAGGAATATTGGACCTAACTCCACCTAATAAAACCGGCTTATTAGGGGAGGATTGCCCTCACCTTATTAAGTGGATCATTTATATTTTCCCAAACAATGTGGGATTCTAATAAGAAAAACGGTGGACCACAAAGAGGAAAAGCGCCTTTCATGGTAGATGCGGAAGCATCGAATAGCAGCTACTTCACATTAGAAAACAAGTCCAAAATAACATAATGAATAGGTCCATATCAATTTCTACTCGTAACATAAGTTCTCCATATTACAAGAAGGCAAGAGTGAGAAGACAAAGCATTAATGCAACAACCAATCGTTAGCTTCAGTCAAGTGTACTCATGTTTATAGGTAATACTACATGTAGATAAATTTAAGTCAAAAAAAAATACAATTGTTGAGCTCCATTTACACTGTCAATCGCCATGAAGCTTATTGCCACTGATCCACCTCTCTTCTAACACCATAAGCTCCCCTAAGATAAGAGAACATATACAAGAGGAAAATCTTTTTGCAGCTTCTAATAAGCCATTTATCACATGCATACAGGTGATTGAATGGAGACCAATCCTATTCACCATTTCACCCAAGTTATTCAAATGTCAATCACTAATGAAGTCAAATAGCATACCAGCAGCTCTCGCTGTACCATAGTCTTGCCATATTATTGACAGAACTCAAGAAGTGTTACTCTGAATGATGCTATCAAAGACACATATCAGTTGGGAGATACAAAACGCTTATTTTAATTGTTCCAAGCATTAAAAAAAAAGAGAGAGGGGGGGAGGATTTTCCGCTGCATGTCACCCCAAATATCAGTCCTAGATAACCTACAACTTCGATGAAGCAATCCCTTAAATAAAATTAAAGGGAACTCGTCAAACACATAAGTCCCATGTTCACGTAATAAAGATGCACGGACAGGAAGATTAGCAGTGTGAAACATACAAAAAATCATTTAAAAAAAGGCATAGAAAACAATACCTTTAGATGAATCCATAACAGGTGGCTTTGTGGGCCGAGTAGGGCGTACAAACTCAGTACCAAAGGCTTGTGCATACGTCTCGTCATACTCCTCAAACTGGGCCTTCCTGTATGCTAAAACCGAGGCCTTGTTCTTGATAAAATCTATCATCCAATACTCATCTGTCAGGGGCTTCAAGGCTAGCTGTTGTACGAAAGAAAACATCTCCTTGGGAAGAAAACTGTCTCGTGCTTTTTCAATCTGACTCGTGGAATAAACTGCGCCTGGTTCATAACCGGCTACATCGGCAATAAAGTAACCCTCTACACTGGTGGGCCAAAGATTGAACTGGTTACGGCATCTACAGACCAGACCCAAACCCCTTCTTCGAGACATCTCATCCACAGCTTCCTCCACTGCCTTTAAAAATGACCTTGAGAGAGTTTGCCGAGATTTTTCAGCAAAGTTCTTCTCAAATGGTATTAGTTCGGCTGGTTCAAACCACCCATAGCTACCATCCCCGAAAAATGCCACCAACACATGGCCTTCATGTTTGGTTCTCCGAACAGAAGGCGTAGCAAATGCTTCATTGTATATAAATCCAGGCCACCAAGGGTGAGATTTTACTTTGCCCCACACCATGTCACCAACTTGGTACCCATAGCCAACGGCTTCACCTTTTCCTTTCGCCACAAACTCATCAAATCCCGAAAGCAGCGAATCATAATCTGCTGCCATACCACTAGGTCTCTTACTCTCCGGCTTACCCTCCTGCGAATCAGTCAACATAGAAGAACTAGCCTGATTTTCCGAAGCTCCTCTATAAGCATCACCAGATATGTTTTCTTCGTTTTTCAACTCGGAAACCCCAGATTCATTCAAAAGTACCTCACTCACCTCAGAAACCCTAGCTTCTTCCGAACGCCCCGCTGTATTCGAGCCCACGTCTCCACCGGCTCCAGCGCCATAGTTACCACTCGCAAAACCGACCTTGGGTTCTTCTTCGACGGCGTCGTCGTCTTTTCCGCCCGACAAACCGTTTTTGTTGCTGCTCATCATTGATATCATCTAAATCGATTTCAAATCGAAATCCTAAATTTTGAAGTGCGTAAAGAAAAATAATTTCGATTTGGAGGGGAAACAATATAGTGATTGATGAAATTTCTGGGGATATTGATGGAATTTCGAAATGAGAGAGCGCGAGAGAAATGGAGGGATGGTTTAGAGGCAGAAGGAAATGGTCTCACCATGTTGGGGAGTTGTTTATAATTCATTATTTATTTATCTTCTCGATTTTGTTAAAAATCATATTTTTAAGTAAGGGTGACTACTTCATTATAAGCATCCCTATTTATTTTTTTAAACTCCCATTTGGTGCACATTTTATAAAAAATAATACATTTTTACTGTTGATGTGATGGATAATATGTGGTTGAAAAAGAATGAAAAGTTATTGATGTGATGAAAAATATTATTTTATAAAAGAATGTGTGGTTGAAAATGAGTAGAAAAATGAGAATGAAAAAATTAATATGTCTCAAACAGGGCCTAAAATTCATTTTTGAAAATTTATTTTTAACTACACGGCCTTCAATAAAATAATATTACACGCAAATCAAAAAAATTCTTAATTTTTAATCACGCATTATTCATCAATCTATTATTCAAAAATACATTTTTTTTCTCCAAAGTGAGGCTCAAACAACAAGCCACAATTTTTGCTCATATCTTCCATTCTTTTAAAATTTGCTTATTAACACAAAATTTATCTACGTTTGACTTTTAGTGTGCAAAACGTACATACGTTTCAAATTTTTACAATTTCACCCCTATTTTTACGTCCAAGATAAAATGTCATTTTATCAATTTTTATTTAATTTCTCAATTAAAAATTGTAATTACAAATATACTCTCTTGTGTAAATAAAACAATAAAAGAGAGAAAATAAAAATAAAAAATAAATTGCAATCATATTCCCAAACTTTTTTAAAAAGTACAAACAAGTCTCAAATAAATTAAATTAAAAAATCAAAAAAAAATCATCTTCTTTTTCTCTCTCCCTCTCCTTCTTCGCCACTATTTTCATCCCCAAAATCCCTCACATTTTACTTCTACAAACAAGAAAAACACATGCACGATCTCTCTTTGGAAATGAAATCGGTAATTCCAGTTTTTACAGTGTTAAAGAACAATTCTATACCAACTAAATTCTTGTAAGACAACATGGTCCTAATAGGTTGAGCCATACCAGCGGCGCTATGGTCACATTGATCTCATTGTCTAGGCCATTGAACTCAACCTAGGGATGAATATTCTGTCGATTCTGCATGTCCACGTGAACAAATGTAAACTTCCCAAAATTATTAGTGTGGCAGTCAGCATTTTGTGTAATCATATATTCGATGTTGTTAATGTCTATCTCCACATGATTCTCATCCTGGTCGTTGAATTCTAGGTTCCTACTCGTGTCAAATTCAATAGCTAAAAGTGGAGCTACAGTAAGGGGTTGTGGAACCAAAATAAAGCCCAAAATGCTGACCAAATAGTGCGTTGGGCGGGGAAGTGGAAGCAGAGAGGACAAAAGCGACTCCAAACCCAGGACTTGACGAAATAGTCGGAAAAACTGAGAACACGGTTACGTTGTAATGATACTAGTCGAATTGGAGTTGGATTTAAAAGGGATTCTAGATGGATAAAATGTGTGACCGAGAAAGAACTGATTGGAACCATTGGTAAAGCGGATAAATGGTAGTTCACTTGCCCCACCATGCCCCACCTCCTTCCACTACTGGCTGACTTCTAGTTCCATTTTGTGGTTGAGCATGGTATGATTTTTTTTCTCTGTTTTCTTTGTCTTTCTTGTTTCTTATTTAGTTTTTTGTTGATTTAACTTTTGACATGTTAATTAAAGGTAAAGGTAAAATCATAATTGAACACCTGCTACAACGAAATGTTGAGGATGTAAATGCTTTCTTTTAGAAGGTGAGAATCAAAATGTAATAAAAGTTAAAAGGTTATAGTCCTTGGATACTATTTTCTTTTATTTAAAAATATATATTTAATTTAGAGGAAATTGTCAAGAAGAGTGAATGTTTTTAAGGATTGTGTTGGTAGTGATTAACCATGGTCAACACTAGAGTAGTAAAGGTTACAACCTTATAGGCAAAGTGAGAACTTAAGTATTCTTAGAGAAGAAACCAAATAATGACATTCAACATGTAGATTAAGCATATGTTTGATAGTCTTACTTTTAAAAAATAGATTTTTGAATAGTGATTTTTAAGAGAATGTGCTATTAAAAAATATGAAAAAATTTTGAGTAGACGTGCAAAATATTTTATTGTATAAATGTATGATTAAAAATGAGTACGTAGAAAAAAGAGTTTGAAAAGTAGGATTCACAAACATGGGCAAAGATAATGCTTCATTAATTATAAATAAGTAAAATGAAAATAGAGAGATATATAAGGTTGGTTCAGGATAGACATATATATTAGGTAGCCATGCCACAAAGTCGAAGTTATTTCAGTGCAAGCGATAGTGTCGATGGAGTTTGTAGAGGAAGTCAACGGCTGAAGTTGAAGGAAGAAACACTGTAGATAACAGTACAAGAATTACATATTCTGGGATTTGAACATATGAATTGGGATCAAGAAATTTCTTGAAGATGTTTGATTAATGACCATCATGGATTTGTCGCTAGATTGAATGATTGCCTCCAATTTAGCGGTAGGGATAGGGGATAGAAGAAGATGATTTTTCATTTTATTTTTTAATTTAATTTATTTGGGATTTATTTATGCTTTTTAAAAAAAAATTAGGAGTATGATTGCAATTTGTTCTTTATTTTTCTTTTATTTTTATTTTATTTAAATATAATGATATATTTGTCATTTTACAATTTGAATTGTGAAATTGGCTAAAATTGATGAAAATGACGTTTCTCACAATGAAGCGTAGAAATATGGGTGAAAATACAAAATTTTGAAATATATGGACATTTTGCACACTAAGGTCTTGTTTGAGCCACCTTTTTGTAGAATGAGAATGAAAAATATAGTCGTTATTGGGGCCCACACAAGAGATAGAAAATTTGAATTTAAATGATGATGTGATAGATAACGGTCATATTTTTCATTTTAATGAGAAAATAAGGTGGCCCAAATGGGGGCTAAAATGAAACAACAAGGATTTAAAATCGATGACAATATTATTGGCAGCATACACCTTAAATTTAGTGGAGGAATGACAAGAGGCCATTGCTTGGAAAACAGGGGCGGATAGAATGCATATCCATAAGGGATTCTTCATTATTGTATATTTCATGTTAGAATTTGCATGAGTATGGAAATGAATGCGAGCAAATGCATTTTGTTTGTCTACAACAACAAATGTAGTGAACGATTCGATAAATAGTGATATAGATACATTTGGACTACTCATGTCGAGTGATTGCAAGTATGTCGATCTAGTTAATGTGATATCGACTGATTAAGGATGGATAACAAGGCATCATGTTTAAAAGTTGAATATGTTGTTGATGTTGAAATGGCATTGATAAGGATAACAAATGACAACTTTCTACGAAAAATAAGTAAAAAAGGTTAACAGATAGATGTAACTTCATGACATGAGTAAAATAATGGCAAGGATACACTTTCTAAAACTTGAAATAAATGACTACACCATATCCCATATAAAGAAATTTTACATAAATTAAATCTTGATCCACAATAAACATATGTATGAACACATGCACAGATTGCATGAAACCTCCAATTTTGTTGAACATATTCACCAACAACAAAAATCAAAAAGTTTCTAAGCATATCTATAAAAGATAGGGGTGCGGTGTATAAAGTAACTATCTGCAAGACGCACAGAATCATTTTCATAAAGTGACCAAACAAAACGATGAAGAAATGACAATTTGAAGTAGATCTGGGAAAGAAGGTTTTTGGCATAAAATAGAAACCCAGCTACAGGAAGAAGAAAAAATCAAGGGCAGCCAACTCCTAAATAAAAAGTATACTATGAAGAAGAAAAGCAATGGGCCGAATTTATGGATTTTCCACAGCAACAATGAAGGCCGTCCAAACTACTAATTTCAATACCCAAACAACATTGTCATATTCTCCAACCACTGCAACAAGTTTTGTAAAAAGACACAAAAATGGTGCAATCTCTTGTTCTCAAGTTACATTCTTTGGGAATTAGTTGCCTAAATTTTGAGAATAAAAAATCTGCTGCAAATCATCCCGTTATTGATCGTCCACCAAACGTTTGATGAAATGCCCAAATAAAAAAATTCTCATTATAAAGATGGATTAACCGCTCGGCCTTATCTGTTAGCCACCATTGAAGTAGCTATTGTATCTTAGGAAAAACTCTGATGACCACTGTTAAGGTGAACTGCCAGCCTCACATTGGACCACAATATACGAGTCTTGCTTTTGTCCACTAGAAAAACATTAAATGTGAGAGTGACAAGAAAATGATGGTGGCATATTCAAATGAATTTGGTGGCTCATTACAGCTTTCTTGCAGAATTCTTACCGGCAATTAAAGTAAGCTCATGAAGGTACACGAAAGCTATTTTGTCAATCAAGATTTAGATGACCATTTTGGACTTCTAGTTGGGCTTGGTTATTTATTTTTACCTTGCCCAAAACTTCTTGTTGGATCAAGAAATTCTAAGGCCCTATAAAATTGGAAGGCCTCTTTTTATGCTCTACTTTTGGATTGAGTGGGCTTGGCCTAATATTTATTTGGGAAGATTTCATAACTAAGGGTCCGTTTGATTGTAAGGATGGAAAATATGTGGAAAGAAAATGAATTTCAGAGAAAATAATTGTTTAAAACTTGTTTTTCAGGAAATTGTTAATTAAGTGTGTTTGATTGGTATAATTTTTCATCTAAAAATTTTTAAAATTTTGGATATTTTTGTGTTCGTTTGGTTTTGTTTTACTTGAAAATTGTCCATTACAGTGATAATTTTTTCCACAATTGATTATAAAATTTGTATCCATTGCCAAAAAGTAAAAAAAATATTTTTT